AAGTAAACTTCGTCCGAAATATTTCTTTGGAAAATGCTCCTATCAAAAGTTAGATGTTAATGGTAAACAGTTAAAACATTTAACCACTTGCGTTGGCAAGAAATTCACAGACGCGTGTGCATTACGACGTGCGTAGCATGTCTTTCCAGCACAAGTGGTTAATGAAATAAAATAAAAACAAAAAACCAAATAGTTTCATAATATTCTATTAATAACAATAAAAGATTGTAATAATAATAAAAGAGAGAAATTATAAAATTTTTACTTGTGCCGTACATAACCCAGATTGCTGATAGAGACTTAAAGTTAGTAGTAAAAATTAATATTTTTATTAGACTTACTTACTGGAACTCAATAGATAAAGCTTTCCGCAACTTCTGTTTTAGAAGGTTTCCACTTTTTCTTGCCTGTTTTTATTTGACATGGTGTAAACAAATGAAGTAATAACAAAAAGCTTAATGTTTCTACAGGTATATCTAAAAACAAAGTAAAAAGAAGAAAAAAGTTAAATATTTATTTAACTTTTGAAAGACACAATTTTAAAATTAAGCTTTAAAACCGAAATGTATTATTAGTACTTTATATAAAAATATTTTATTAATTCTATAAGCAGAGTTATTAATAAAATGTTATTTTATTAATAACTCTGCTTATAGAATTAATAAAATATTTTGCGAAAACTATAAAAGGTATTTAATGACTAAATATATTTAAAATATCAATATCAAACGATAATATTAATATTGAACGTTTATGTAAGTGATCATATTATTTAATGTTTTTTAAGTTTCAATACTTATAATAAAAATCTTCCATTTTTAAAAGCAAATGAATTCAAATTCAATTTTACTATTTTATTATTTATATTTTAATACGCGTAACCACATAAAATACATATTTATGTTTACATTATTTCTTTTATGTTAGGTAAATTTTTTACATTTTGCGTTTATATTATATAAAATTTTTTTAAATACTTTGTTTATGTCCACAATTTTAAAATTCCACTTTGTAAAATATATGGCGAGAGTTGTATATTGTATAAAAACATTATATACGTATATATCATTTTAAAAAATTATACATATGTACACATACCATTTCTCAGTTCACACAATGATGAGCTTCTTTTTTTTCGGCGAGTTGTAATATATATGGGGCAATTTCGGTCCACTTTTGTACAAAAAAATGTGCCTCAATTTGTGTTTCTATCAGCTCAAAATCAGCCTGTAACTGTAGTTATCGATTTTAAAATAAAATATTTTTAAGTAAATTATACGAAATGTTAAAATGTTATTTATTATTACCAGCACGCTACCAATCGAAGTTTTCAAGATAGGATATTTGTCATAATAATCAGCAATTGAAATCCCCCTGTTTCTTGCCTTAGACGTTTCTTTCCAAAGATTTTCAAGATTTGGATCATTCGGTTGAATTACACGTAATTTAAGCAATGCCTCTTTATGATCAGGATTCAATTCAGGATTTAATTCAATGTCCTTTTCTTCGACCTTTTTTTCGTATTTTTTAATGTATTTTTTTAGATTATTGTATTTGTCCCAAAGTTTACCACTAGCAAGACGTTTCAACTTTGTGTTACAAGGAAGATAATATGTTGATACTTTTTCGTATTTAAAAACGGTAACTATCACTTCAGCCCACTCACAAAATTGCTCCGTAGTTATTCTGCAATATTATACGTATTAAAAATACATTAATAAAAAAGATAAAATAAATAAATAAGAACTAAATTTTTATAAAACACATTAAATATTACGTACTTATTGTTAGTAGATTTACAAAGAAGTTTGTCAATAATCATATGACAAATTTTATTACGATCTGATGGTGTTAACCGCGTTTGTGACAGTATTTTTTTACCAGTACTTGTTTGAGAAAGTAATTCTCTCAGATTCTGAAAAAAATATAATAAAATAAAATTTAGACCTTCTATAATTAATGTTCTACAAAAATTATAACTTCTGCAGAAAAAAAAATTTATATTTTAATATTATAAATTACACAAATTAAAAATATATTCGAAAAGAATTGTATAAAATAATTTATGATTCTATTTCTACCAGTCTTCAATTTTGTAAATAATACTAAGAAAATTAACAATCAATAATTTTTACAAAAATCTGTATGTAAAAGAACATAAAAGAGTTAAAAAAAGTAATTGTAAAAAAAATTTCAAGAAACACACCTTTTCATGACCATAATA